CGTAAATCTTTGAGTCCCAAGACAGTCAGAAATCTACTGAGAAGCCCTTCACCACACTGCTTCCATGATGGTTTGGACCACAGTACTGCTTCATTTTTGGAGCTGAGGATGGTGAAAGGGGTAGAAATAGCAGAACAGATTGGCCAGAAAACACAAGAACAGATTCACTGTGTTATGTGACACCATGTGACACCATCAATTTATGACTGGAAGTATAACTTTCGGAGTTATCTACTTAGTTTTTGTCTTCCTTTTTTAATTAGACAATAAATATTTAAGGAAAGTGACCTGTGACGTGCAAAAAATGCTAGTGGATGATATTCCTACTACTTTAACATGACTTTCTTTCTTGAACAAAGATATTTTTCTTCCAATATGCTGGGATAAATATGCATTCAAAAACACCAGACAACAAGTTAAATATCTGTGACAGAAGCACTGAAATATTTTGAAGTAAATCATCAGATTCAGATTGGACTTTGCAAATAGAAAACCCTAAAAAAACATTTTTGGATAAGTCATTTTCCAAAAGTCAGATCATTAAAGCAATTATTGCTAATCAGAATGCTTTAACCTATATAATTTGTATACATGTATTCTTAAATCTGCATCTATATGAGTTAAAATATGGATTAAGTTTATGTTTTATGATTAAAGATCTCTATTGTTTAGATGTTTAATAATCATCTAGAGTCTCTTCTTTTCATGTTTGACATTCTGCGTGGTTGTATATCATTTCCACATCAGACTGTAAATCCTCATTCTTCAGATTAAAATTTTACAGTGAATCTATCTCAGTCTAGTGTTGTGATGATTCATTTAAACCCTACCTACGTAATGACAGATGGATTTTTTACATGTATAATAAACACAGATCTAGGTAAATGCAGTCAATTTGTCACATTTACTTTTGCTGCCTAAAATTTTCATGTCCTCAGTGAAATCATGTGTTACAGTATAGCTAAGATTTGTACTCAGCCTAGTTATTTTGTTCAGTGAACAGTAACTGGTCAATTTCAGTACTTCTAGGATAGGAATGAGAATGGCTGATGAAGCATTTGAGAAAAACAGCTGTACAAATGGCTGATACCTTTATCACTGTTACCATTGTACTGCAGAAGGGAAAGGGAAGGGGAAGGGGAAGGGGAAGGGGAAGGGGAAGGGGAAGGGGAAGGGGAAGGGGAAGGGGAAGGGGAAGGGGAAGGGGAAGGGGAAGGGGAAGGGGAAGGGGAAGGGGAAGGGGAAGGGGAAGGGAGTGAATCATACTGAAGTAAGTGAAAGAGGAGAAAAAGTGTCTGCAACTTGAGAATGCAGTACAAAATCATATAAGAGACATAGATTAGTTTGTGTGTGTTATTGTACCCTCTTTTTATATGGAGGTCAAAACATAAAGCCTTTTCCAACTTATCTCACTATTGCATAATCTGAACAAGACTATAACTTTCAATGAATTAAGTAGTCATAAAAATCAAACATTTTGGAGACTTTTTTCCTCAGACGGGGTAAATATCAGATGAGACAAAATTCCAACAAGTTGAGAGACAAGATTTGCCTGTATATAAAATAAGCACTAAGCATAATTTTACATATATGAGCCCTGAACATGGCTGTAACTGTAGTTAAGCAATAGCTGCACTGAATTTTAAAAAGATGAAGAAGAAAGGCAAAGCAGTGGTACAGCACTTTTCAAAAAATTTGTGGTCTTGGTGTAAGTCCTATGAGAATTTTAATAAAACATATTGAGTACCTCAGAGGAGTTATAGCAGGATTAGCTTTTCCTTGCACAGCTATTTGAAAATAGATTCAAATCAATATATAGATAATAAGTATTTGCCGTTAATACCTCTTGAGTTAGGAAGGTTTTTTTGTTTGTTTGTTTGTTTTTTTGTGGAGGTAATTCATTGTGACACATGAAATAGTCCTGTGGGAATTGCCTGGTTAGGGTAAAATAAAACTATCAAATGAAGTGTCAAGACTTTATACTACTGTTCATTTTATACATTTAAAGTGCACTATCACTTGTACCATAGCTCCAAAAGACAGCATCAATTTGCTATATTTTAAAGCTATTTGCAAAGAATGAAGCAGTCAGAGCAATTGTAGGACTTTGAAACACTGAATGACTGTTAGATATAAAAACAAATTTTCAAAATACAACATATTTTAAGCTTTGGTGTAATCCTAGGGCTATCATTTCTGAGTCATAAATAGCAAATCTCTTCATTAGTCTTCCAAAGTCTAAAGCCTGTTAGCACAAATTTGACACTCTCCAACACTAAGTGAAGACCCTTCTTACGTCTGTAATACTGAATGGAAAAATAAGTCATCTTCAACTTCAGGGGCTGTTAACATACATGTATGTGGTTTAGTAACATACACATTTTAACTGGATTCATTATGTACATGGAAAGTTTACTTTATATTCTTCTGGTAAATGCAGGCATACAGATGGTGTTATTTTTTTCCTTACCAAAGAAACTTTTCATAGTCTTTTGCTTCTGGTCAACTTTTCATTTTTTTCATAATCAGCCGGGAAAGGAAAGGAGATTGCTACGTATTTGGTATTATAGTAAAGTCTGGGGGCCTTATACAAAGCCAACTCTCCCCTTTGTTAGCTATTCCAAAGATGTTCACAAAGGGGAAAGATCATGTTTCCAACAAATTCATAATCTAAATAAGCTGATAAAGTACGATACAGAATTATCCCTTCTAAGCACATTACTTTGTATAGAGGTAAAAAATGTAAAGGCAGGTATGTATCTGCCTTTTCTGAGACCATGTCATTGTCTTCTGAATGTGTATGATTCTAAGATCTGGGAATAACAGAAAGGAAGGGGAAGATGTGTTTGCCAAGATAAAACTTTACATGTAGATATAAATACAGTAGCCAGACATCTATGGCTATTTGTATGCAATTAATATATATATATATATGTACTGGGATGTATAAAAAGCATCAGAACTAACAAACTACCTAACTAACTAACCATGGTAGGCCATGCCTGATACTTAGTCATGTTTTACAAAAGCAGTAAGCAATACAGGCAGCATAAATTTAGCATTTCAATTTAGAAATAGGGAATTCAGGATCTGCCTTGGCTTGGAATCAGCAGCAGTCATCTGAAGCTAAGAAATTTCCACCAGATTAAATAGTGAGGATATTTATTTCTTAATGTTTTCATTCTTGTTCCTCACAAATCTTGAAAAGATATTTTTGTTTGCTTACTACAATAGGTTTATTTTACTTTTTTTTGGACTTTCAACTTCATTTTTAATTCCTAAAATTCTACTTGTATATCCCAGAGATGCAAAAGAATTATCTGAGCTTCAGTTTGTTATCTGAAGTATACCCTTAAGTGATTTCCCAAGAAAAAGATTTTCATGGCCTATACTGTAACAAAATTCGTACTACATGGAATCTTTTAATAATTCACAACAGGCCACTCAAGCAACTAGTAATCAAGAAATATATAAAAGTCATAATATAAAACATTATGGACTCATATTTTTGTTTACTAGTGTCTTAGAAAAGGTTTGAATGAAACAGCATTAAATGCAAACTTCAGCAAGCCTAATACATAGTTTATAATCCCAGAGATGCACGTAAAATAATGAGAATACAAAGTTTAATTAGCTATCATTTTGACATTTTTAAAAGATTACATTAAATATATTAATATGAAGAAAAATCAAATGCAGAATGTAAAAAAATGTGCAATTCATTCGATATTTTTGCAATGTAATACTTGTTTAATATCCCTAATCATTTCTAAGACTATTTTACAGTTTGTCCACACCATTGAGTGTCATTATCAAATAGATACAATATATCCAGTAGTCCAAAGTACATCTGCTTTTAAGTATTTGATCTCTAACTACTTTTTTGAGTTTACATGTATATGTGCAAAGAAGCCACTCTCAGGAAATAAATGCCTCTTAACATTCCATCTAAAGAAATATCAGCAGGCCTTGAAAATATGTATAATAGGTAGAAGTGCAACAGCATCTTAGGCTGAATGCAGACTTACCTGCTAATGCATGCCCAGAATGCTCAGAGTCTCATTTCTCCAATTATTTAAATTGGAATTAGGCAAGTATGCAGTATGACTTCTCTGCGACTGAATTTCTAAATTGTCTCTTCACTATCAAGTCAAGAGGACCTATCCTTGGAAACCCAGAGCACACTCAAATTCAGTAAATATAGGTAAACTCAGGGATTAACAACAGCCTTTACTTCTTATCTATTAGTACTGAATATTTAAAAATATAATTTTGATGATGGCAGGCATCTATTCCCATCATCTCTGCCTATATTTCTACACTTGGAAGAGAAGTAAGAGATGCACAATATAGCACCAGTTCAGAGAACCAGACAACTTACTTGTGCTTCAACCCAATTGCTCATACTCATAATTCTATGTTGCTGAAATGCATAAACAAAGGTCTTACAAATATTCTTCTTACAAAATTCTTACAAAAATGGTTCAGGAAAAAAATTAAAATGTAAGCAAGGTGGAAAGAAGTGTAAGCAGTACTAATGGCACTGATGCTTAGTGGGCTACAGCACATTGATTCCAACAGTTTTCTAAGAAATTCAACTACCACAACTAAATCTTAGCTTTTTGCCATAGTTCCATTACAAATTAGAAACAATTTCTGTGCAAAACTTCCAAGTAATACTTTTCATGCTAAATCAGTAACTCACATAAACATGTCATTGTATTGACTTTTAATGGGCTAAAATACTGTGTTGAGGTCAGTGTACATAATGCAAATATGCATTAACATATGCAATAATGAAACTAATACTTATCACCATACTGTTCTCATAGAAGCCTTATAATTATAGTCCTATTCCTGTATGTCTTGGAAACATACAGACAACTTTTCCACACCTTTTTCAAGATAATTCAGTGGTATTTCTTAGTGGGAAATATTTAAAAATTTAAGAGTCAAATTCACTCTTAAAATGTATGAAGGAAACAGAATCATGGACTTACAGTCTGTAATTTTCATTACTCTTTTTACTTCTCCAATTCCTGATCCTCCACAACCATCTTCATCATCACAATCTCCACTGATTTCTTCATCCAGACTTCCACCACTGCCTGTTTGTCGCAGATCCCAGTTATAATATTTAGGAAATGATCTGCTCTGCAATAGCTGAAGACAAGATACAGTGTGTAAGTTAACAATACAGATGGAAAACTTCAGTGAGCAGCCAAAATTTCAGATATGTCTCTCTGATATTTATCTGCTTTAAATGGAAAACATTAGGTTCCACAGAATGGTAATTCTGATTTTTTGTTTCCTCTGGTTTGCAGTCAGGTTTAAAAGAGTGGTATCTGGACATGTATACTTCAGTTTTAATTTAAAAATGTGTAACATTTCTGTGTCTATACTGCTAAACAAGAGAGGATAAGGCATTAATCCCTAGCCCGAGGCCAAATCACATGGATAGAGACATTTCCTTCACACCTTCATACTAGTGTCCTTTAGAGCAGACAGACAGCATCCATGTTACATAGCAACTGGCCCTAGTTCTTTTCCAGACCCGTGAGGTGTCCACATTCTATGATTCTATCACTAGGAATGTGTGGGTTTTGTTCAGTCCTGTAGGGATTGGTAGGTCTTCCAGATCATTTAGGATTTTCATTAATAACCTGGAAGGCAGTATAAAACACAAACCATGCTGGTAAATCTTCCACTGCTATAAAAACTCGAGACATACTAAGTAAAAAAGAGAAGTGGCAAACTGTCTAATAAGGTACCTCATCTGGCAAGCCAGGCAATAGAATGAATTTTTAAATACATACTATAATAAAACAGACAAAAGTAAATTTGCAAGTCTAAATATTGTATTACATTCATATTAAAAGATAAAATATTCTGTTCTATGAAATAGTAGGCTATGAATTATCAAGACTAGTGTTCTAGCCAAAGGTTTTAATGGGATAGCTTTGAAGACAGAAATAGGAATACTAAATTAGATTAGGTATGTTATATTACTCCCAAATCCAGGTCTTGCTTCCTCTGTTCAGAAAGGATGGCACAGAATTGAGTTATACTGGGGTGTTTAAAAAAGGGAATAAACAAAATAAAACAAACAAACAAATATATGTTATTTTTAACCAATGTGAAAATAACAAATGAACCAAAAACTTTGATTTATTCTTTCAATTAAATCAAATGAATCCACATTATCAATATTGTACATTAAAAATAAACCAAACAAGGGTTGTTCTATATCAAAATAATTTATTAACAGTTGTGCTCAAGTTCTTAAATATATATTTATTATCTATATTACAATATAGATATATAATATATATTATATATATACATATGTATGTATTCTGGTTCAGACAGAGGTTTTAGTCTTAAAGCAGAAATTAATCCAGAAGTTCAACACCAGGATATGCAAGAGGTCAGAATAAGTAACCAAAAATGGCCCCTTCTCACTCTCAAAAATGTATGAATCCATGTAATTAAATTTGGTTTAATGGAAAACTGGATTCTTTTTTATTTCCTGTGCTTGTAGAAAGTTACAAGTGAGTTCATCTCTCATGAGTGATGAACACTGGAAGGTGAGGGAGCTTATGTTTACACTGTTCAAACTGATACGATACTGGTTCCCTTTCAACAAAAATCTAGTATCCCATTTACTTATCGTACACATCATACACCTTCAGGGGAAACATTGTTTTTTTATTAATTTTATTTTATTATTTTTTAACAATAAAAAATGATATTCTATTGCAGTCAATATGGACTAAGCCCAGTCATAATATTTCTTCTCTTTCATTTATGTGCATACCTTAAACACCTGTGGAGGGAATCTCAAAGGAGACCAGCAGTAAATCCAATTTACCTAATCAAATAAAGCCTAGAATAATTATTTCTAGAAGCACGACTGTTTTGAACTCCTTCAGACGAGAAGGATAAACTATGCTAAAGTTTATTCCTCTGCTTAGTATTACATATGTATTTAAAAGGACAGCATTTCTCTCTAAAAAAAATACTCATGCCTCAGTCTTCTCTGTTTTAAAAATCCTTCTTCATATCTGGGAGCACATTGTACAGTTAAAACCCCTCAATTCAGGTTCTCACATGATTTCTGTCATGAACAACTGATTTTCTTTCCAGTTATTACTAGATTTGAGTGAAGAGAGAGGCAAAAGCTTTGCTCTTGTCCCTTGATACACTTCCTACTAGCCTAGCTATGCACACTATCAATTTGGTTATTTCACAAAGTATTAATTTTTTTGGTCTCTGGGAAAAACAAACAAACAAACAAACAAATTAACAACAACAACAATGAAAATGTGTCTTACTAACTTCTCACTGCAATTTAAGTCATTCTCCGAAAATTAAGTAAATGAGTCAGGCATATCTAAGATAACCAATGTAAGCAAAATTAAAGCCTAGCTTGTACTCTCCTTTCTGTCTAGGTAGTAGAAATAGTAGAACAAAGTCATATTACATATGATTAATGTGTAGAGACTAATGTTCTTTGCCTGTTTCACCCACCCATGAAGACAGCATAGCTACAAACAGAAATAAATGAGAAAAATAACAAGGGAAACATAAATTTAAGAGGTAAAACAGGCCAACAACAATGGGGGGGGGGGGGGGGGGGAGAAAGCGGGGAATCATCAGCAAAATGTCATTTAAAACATTTCTAAAGTTATTTTATGAGCATTTTTAGCATCTCTTCTGTAGATCCATTGATCTGCTTGGATTTTTTATTTCACTGTTCTTTACTGCTCACCTGTTTCATTGTATTTGTTTTAAGGTTGTTGGTATAACACCCTCCACTAGACAGAGCAAATATTTTGCAGATAATTTGCTAATAATTTTACCTTGATCTTATTCTCATGTGAATTTTACACATTTCTCCCTCGGTAAGAGTGGATACGAATAGCCAGGACATCTACTTATTCCCTATTTCTACCCTATTGTGAGTGAGGAAATTGGTGATTTATCTAAAGAACCAATTTCAGTGAATGTAATTCAGTGGCTGATCAGGGGAGCTGGCTCACAGCAAGCAATACTGCTTCACACAGTGTTTTCTCTTACACACCAGAAACATGATAAAATTACTTCTTCACAATATTTCCAAACCCCATGTGAGTGGATTCTGGTACAAGTGAGAAGAAGATGGGATCTTAGAATGAGATAGACTAATTCTTAGAACACAGCTACTTCGCTCTATTGGCAAGAAAGACAAATTCAGATATTGAAGATTTGACTATATGATTCCTAAAATTTCACACTGTTGAGAAGGTATGCAGGGCAATTAAGGCATCACATAAGGAATGCAGTTTTATTTGCATTCCACATTATGCCAAAAGGTAGCCCTTGCTAATTCAGTTATAAATCAGCTATGGTCATTTGCCCTGGGAAGTCAAAGATATCCAAAACTGCTGGTAACAGATGTTCTTTTGCTCCTGGCTTGACAAAGTGCATGAAAATCCTGTGAACTGACTAAGCATTCAATGAGTATTTCTTTGTTGTGACGCACAGTACAGATCTTTGCCTTAAAGAAAAACAAACAAACAAACAAACAAACAAACAAACATGCTACATCTTCTTAATCATCTGTTTTATCTGTATCATTTGGTTGTATAAAAAATCAACAAATAAATTCAGGTCAATAGACTTATTCAGCTACTCCATACAAAGAACTGACTGAACTTTGTTCATCTTGATTTACTGGCTAACTAATTACATCCTTTTTAATTATTGTGTAAAGCTTTGGAAATAATTTCTACCAATTTTGACATTATAATTTAACCTCACATCCACTATTTTACAATTTGAATAAGCTCTATTGACGGATCAAAAGTATATTACATTCAGGTGAGGCACTGTGCATGTTTGTTACACAACAGTGGGTAAAGTTATCTTGGATTATAGCCTGGTGGAATGTTAAGGAAGTTAGAGAATTAATTCCTCGTTTTTGCCACTTCCCAAAGTGGAAGTTCTTTCCCCAGATCTATGACATTTTCAGATAGCACTTATCCAGATCTTTGTAAAGAAAAAAAGGAAATCAAGAAGCAAAGGAAACAATGTTTGCTTACATGAAATGGAAGATGACCTACCAAGGAAAAAAAAAAAAAGAGAGAGACCACTCATCTGAAAGCATCTACTTTGATGTTAGAATTTGGACTAATCCACTGGAACCATGATTATTAAAATATAGTATGAAAGATGCAGATGTGAGGAATGATAGCTCCTCCTAAGACACACTGTAGAAAAGTATTCCATAGTTCGGTCTAAAATAGGTAGGGGAATAGCACAGGGCAGTCATGCCCAATTTGTATCACTCTGATTATTAAATAGTTTCTGAATAGAAAAGCAGGAAATAATATTACAGCAGGAAATAAGAAAGCCAGAAAACAGCAAAGAAAGTTGTTTCTGTTCAAGTATAATGCCAATCTAATATTGTGCCAATTTGCAGGCTCTGTGCAGCTGAATTGTTCTGACAGGAATTCTGACTGTCACAGTTCAGTTACATGAATAAGCCATGAAGCTAATGAATGATTATAAAGTCTATTCTCTGACAACTAATAATGGCACCATGAAATACTTCACCCACAGTTTATCAGTACAATCAGTGAGAGATGATAGGAACCATTATCACTGGTGCCTAACATATAATGCAGACTAATCAACAAATTATTGACAAACAGGACACAGGACACTCTTAATTCCTCAAGGAGAAAAAAAACATCTTTCTTTTAGTCCTAAAGAGGACTATTACTTTACTCTTAAGTAATGCAAACTGGAAGTAAATTACAATGGTTAGTGGCATAAAAGAGGTAGACTTTATATTTGTGCACATCGTTGATATCCACAACAGCACATCGTAGATATCCACAACAGCACAGTGGAAGTGAGCAGCTCAGGGAAAAAAAATAGCTGGGCCACAAGCTGTGTTTGTAGGAGTCCTTAACATTTCAGAAATCTCTGCATAAATGTCAGAGTATGCCTCTAAGACACTTAAGTCTACCAACAAATAATTGCTGTAGAAGGCTAGCTCCACAAAAGAGTTGTGGTTTGTACTTAGCTGGGAATACAGAATATTCTTCTAAATCTGCATGTGAAGCATTGATCCTTATAGAGTCTAGGTCTGAAAGAATGATTACAGAATAATGGCT